CCAACCTCGTAGGGGCGGCGGTCGGTGGGGGGCAGAGGTGGCGCCCACCGGAGTGACTGACAGAGGGAGACCTCAGGCGGCTGTCAGGGTGGGGGCATGGAACGTCCGTTCCCTGCGACAGGATGATCGGTTACCACTACGTCGGGGAATTGAAGTGGCTGAGAGTGAGAGGGTTGCTCTCTCGGAGGCGGCGAGAAGACCTGGCAGTGGCACGATAGTGTGGAGTGAGGGGGACTCACTTACTACACTTACTACACCATCTCCAGGGGAGTAGCCATAGACCACTCAGCCGATTTTCAACCCTCGGTAGTAGAGGTCACTCCAGTCGATGAGCGTATAATGGTATGAGATGAAGCTTGCATTTGGCTGCATATCTCTTATTGCTGTGTACGCTCCTACGGATGTAATAAACTTGAGTGAAAGAGATGTTATACCTTCCCCCTCTGGACTTGACAGCGATACGCGGTAGTGTGGTCAGGAGATCGAACATCTCGTCAGCAATCGGTGAGGACCTCCAGAAACTGCAGGGTGTATCGAAGCACGAGTTTGTGGAACTGATCTAGATTAGTTGTGGTACTCTCCGGGTCCACTTAGAACCCCCGTTGACCAAATGATACACCCCAGGGTGTTTCATTTGAACAGACTGAGGGAGGGTGATTTGTGTCGTCCTCACAGCACTCGAAGGGCCTGACAGACCCTTTTGTTATGTGGGATTCCTACAAGCGTGAAAATGCTGATGCAGCTCAGGAATCATTGGTGTTTTTTTTTTTTTTTACGCCCAAGAGCCAAGACAGAATTCCATCTCACAGGAAGATACTGGAAGCCACAGAAGCTTGTCGTGCAGCCGATTTGTCAGGGGATCGAAATTTGCACGTTCTCTGCGCACGCAGTATAGTCACTGTTGAGAAGGGATAAGGACCAGTTTATCAGTAATCTGCAGAGGAGTTCAAAAGCCATTCCTAGTAAATGACTCGTCTGCCTACAAGCTATGCGAAAGCTGAACTTCCAAGCCTCCCATCCAGACCGACGCACGCCCTCAGCAAGTGGCCAGTAATTCTCAGATCGGATGGGGTGCGTGGCTTGGGCCTAAGTATTTGAGCAGTTGTATCACAGATTGATCCACCAACAGTTAACCTGGATGCTGTAATGTGAGTCCTCTGCCAGACCCACCCCTCAGTGAGATCCACCCTCCCGACTGAAGTCAAGGGGGCGATCTCAAGCTGAAGAGTGGTAAAGCAGCTGGGTATGTGGACATACCCCCAGCTGAATTGTTAAAGGATGGTGGAGACTATGGCCAAAGGGGCTGCATGCAGTCCTTCTGCCATCTGGCAGACCGGTACCATTCCATTGAGGATAGTTCAGGAGGAGGCAAAGTGTTCTGCCCCAACACTTTTCACACTTGCATGGATGGATACTGGGTTAGAGATACTGGGCGATATCAAGGTACAGACTTTGCTGATAGGTTGCTATTCTTTCTGAATCTCTGAAAACCTAGTGGCGGCTCGTGAGCATTTAGCAATGAAGCGAAGCCCTGGACTAGAGGTCTCTAGGACCAAGACCTATATCTATACTGTTTATGTATGTTTAGTATATATAGATATATATATTATATAATATATTAGTGTGTGTGTATAATACCATTGCGACGGGCATGACGTATCGTGTGTGTTTTGCCCTGGCCTACGTGAGGTACTGGTCTATGATCGTTTTTACACATAGAGGGCTACACTTGTACTAAGTCACAATGAGCCATTCGAGTACTTGCCCATCTCGCCCGTTTGCCATTTCTTTTGATTTACGAAAATGGTTTACGTTCATCTATTTTGCTGTACTAGTTATAACATCCGGGATATATAATGTTTTATAATAAATAACCAGATCGATATTCATAACACTAGTAAAAATTACATTTTCTGCCAATCAAATCAGGTACGGTCACAAGGTCTACTAATTAACCCTTTGTAGCAAAGCACTAGCAGAGCTCATCTATGTGCAGAGATATTTCACAAGAAATATAAAATGAGCACAGCATTTCCCCATGTTTATGTCTCTCTCTCTCTCTTTACTATTTATCTCTTACTCTCTCTTCCCATTTTCTTTTATCTTTCATTTTTTCTTTTAGATTCTTCTTTATCTCTATCTATTTCTCCCCTGACATACCTCATAACCAATCCTCTCACACACTTTGATTTTTCTTACCATGGCCTCGCAGTTAAAGAGTCATAAATCCTGAAAAAGACCAAGCATGCATGGTCAGCTTAAACATAGCCTGTACATGTGGCTAGGAAAACTGAACACCTAGTTTTGAGCCAAATAATAGTACTAATTGGTTCGATGACCACGTTGAAAAAATTGATTCATAACATAATGAAAGCAAGGAAATATAAATAAAAAAAACCTGTTAGTTATGGGAGATTTTTTTTTTTTTTTACCTCGTGCGATTATTTTTTTTTTTCTGAGAGGTTTATATGAGAGTCCATTCATAGAAGTGGGACACACGCTCCGTCCTTCTGCCCTGACGCTGCAGTGCTTCTTTGGCAGTCTTTCTGAACAAGAGGTAAAGTTGAACTAGGGTCCTTGCGAGTTTTCTTTTTTTTTTTCTTTTACGAAAGTAGAAACGCTGGTCCTTGTGCGTATTTATAATTGCTTTCTTTCACATATTTCTTCTTGGTTTCTTTATCTCACATTCTGTGTCTGTTCTGTCTCTCTTCTCTCTCTCTCTCTCTCTCTCCTCTCTCTCTATATATATATATACTATCTATATATATATATATATATATATATATTTATCATATATATATGTATAGATATATATATATTTAGAGAGAGATGGGGGGGGAGGAGTTATATGTATAGATAGATAGATAGATATTGTAGATATATTTATCTCTTTTTATCTATTAATTTAATCAATTTATTTATCGAATCATCCATCCATCTATAGGACCATAACAAAATCTAGCTCAAAAATATTCTTTCAAATAAAAAATGAGAAGGCATAATGTTTCGTCAAAGAATCAGTTTCGAAGAAAAAGCTTTGACAGTCCTTGATTTGAAAAACCAATGATGTTTTGACTTAATTGTAGCGCAATTGCCTTGAATGCGATCAAAGAATCTGGTAGCTGTTCAAATCTTGCTAGCATTCTAAGTATTTGAAATGAATAATTCTTCATCAATTCATACAGTGGAAATATTTACACAGACATATGGTTTTAATTCTATTAGTGTAACAAACCGTCTCCATTCGTAAAATTGTGATGGCAGTAATTTGCTTACCAAACGAAAACATTTCTAAAGGAGAGTGCGAAGAGGTAAAAGTTTTTTGTTTTAATGGAATCATAAAAAAAATGTAAAAGTTGATATCTTGCAACCTCGATTTAGCGCCACTTTAGACTAATGGTCGCGTTGTAACGGGTTATAGTGTATGTTTATGGGGGCTGCAAAATTTTCTGCCCGGTGAAAGAGGAAGAGAAATTCACCTGCCAGAAAATTTGTGCGAATGAATGCCACCAGTGCGTAGATAGAGGGGTGGAGTAGGGGGGCGAAAAACCCACTTGTAAGGCTAAACTGCCATTTTGTCGAAAATTTCGCACTGTCGTAAAAATACGATGGTTTTCGTTCGTTTAGTAGTGGCCTTATGTTATGTTTAAAATGATCAAAAATAAGAATTAAGTGTCAAATTTTTGTCGGGAGATCTCATTCTCGCCCACTCTATAGAATTTTCCGCAAAATGGATAATCCAAGTTCTATGCCCATTGCCCAAAATAGCCCGAATTCAACCAAGCATTATTCAGCCCCGGGCTCCTACGTCTAGTGTATTTGTGTATACATACAAAACACACACATATGTGTTTGTGTGTATATATGCAATTCTCTGTCGTATTTGTGTTGATGATCCGTTGAGATGTCGTACGTGAATTTGCAATGTATCTCTTCTCTTATCTATTTTTTTTAGTATTATTGTTTCCTCTATTGTATGATCACTTTTTTTATCACTGTTTTTTTCCGTAATCCTCTATTTATAGCAATAATCCCACACTCTCTTATTCTACATTGCTGTCTCGTTATTTATCGCAATGATCACTTCACTTCGACCATCGTTTTTCTCTTATATTCCCTCTATTTATTGCAATTGCTTCTCTATTTCCACAGAATGCGGAACTCGCAGGACGACCTTTGCGCTTCTCGCTGCTGCCTTTTAGGTCGCAGGAGAGAGGTAGTGGAGGGTGGGGGGGGGTAATCCTTGGTGGAGGTGGCTTTGAGTGGTGGAAATGGGTAGAAATCTGAATGAGGGGGATGGCCAATGACGGGAGAATGATGCATGGTCGGATTTTCTTTTCTTTTTCGCGTCTGTCCTCTTCTATTTTGTTTTTTTCTATCTCTGACTTATTTCTATTGTTTTTCCTGCCTTTATCGTCTCTCTCTCTGTCTCACCCCACTTCTTCTCAATGTCTGTATTCTCTACTATCTCTCTTTCCTTCTTTCTCTCCCCGTTTTCATATAGTATATTAGATATATATATATACTAATTATATATAATATCTATTATATATATAGATACTTATCTCTCTGCCTCACACAGAGAGCAACCGGTGCATCCCGCCGTGTCCTCAAGGACAAGTGCCGCGCGGAAGGATGCAGCTGCGTGTCTGCCGGGAGCTGCCCGTCGCCCTGGTGGCTGCCTCGGCACTGCGGAGGGTGCGGGGGCGCCGTGTGGCTGCAATCCCTCGGGGCTGGAGGCCTTCGCTCGGACTGCTGGAGCTGGACGGCTTCGAGGTCGCCTGAGAGTCAGTGAAAGTCGGTCCCCCCGCCTCTCGGTTTTGGCTTTTCCCTTCTTCTTTGTCTTGTGTTTTGGTTTCTGATTCTTGTAAGTTCGGTTTCCTCATCTATTCTCTCGTGTTGCTAATATTTTTTTTATCACTCGCTATCGCCTTCTATTTCTCTCTTCTCTATTATTATCTCTCTCATCCCCCCTCAACCATGGCCTTGAGCAACCGGAAATGCCTTCCGCTGGGTACCGTGGCTTCTGGCTGACGGACCTACGGCTGCAGCGGGCAAACAACTGGCTGGTGAACTACTGCTCGGAGGACGGACCATGGTGTTTATCGCGCCGCCCTGCCGGAGGAGGAGAAGGTGGTCGAGACAGGTCGGGTACTGCGTTCCGGGAGTTCCCTCTGTCCCAGTGGGTAAGGACGAGGGCACAGGATGTTGGTGGGGAAGATTGTTTCTGCTGTCCTCCAGGTGGTTTGAGGATCGTTGATCGAGGTAAATGAGGTCCCGTTCAATAGGTAAGCTTTGATCAATAATTGTAATATTCTTTGTAAAAACTACATTCTTGTATATTTCTACTTAGTCGCTATTAAATAAAGATATACAGATTTACTGTAATGCATAATATGTGATCAATATAGTACTTCCTTCCTTATATATATATATATATATATATATATATATATTCGTATATATATGAGAAGAGCTATAAGAAGAGAGTAGAGAGATAGAGAGAGAGAGAGAAGAGAAAAGAGGAGTATATCGCTTGAGTGCCTTTGCCATAAAAGACTTAATCATACTTGGGGGCCTCAGCAATGATACATATATATAATATATATATATATATATATATATATATAATATATATATATAATATATGATGCGCATATTATACATACACACTGACCTCAGTATTTTCCTCATTAACATCTACTAACAGCTTAATTCTTACTCAACAGCTTGGCCGACCCCGAGTTGCCCGTGCGAGGAAAATTCAGGTTTGTTTTTCTTGTTTCTGAATGAGGAAATTCCTAAGTTTGATGTTAGTTTACAATTACGCTTTTAGTCCTGCACGAACACATGCACACACACACACACACACACACACACACACACACACACCCACACCACACACACCACACCCACACACACACACGACGCACACACACACACCACACACACACGCGCCGCACACAGCCGCACGCACACGCACACACACAACACACACACACACACACACACACACGCACACACACACACCACACACACACACACACACACACACCCGCACACTCACCACACACACACCACACACACACACACAGCACAAAGACACACAACACACACACACATGCACACCGGGGGTAGTCACTAGGACACTGCCATACGGAGGAATAAACCACACTCATTTATTATGTTTTCTGGTGATTTAGTGGGCTTTTCCCCCTTAAACCTTCTTTTGGAGGGGGCTGCCGCCCCCACACCCCGCCTGGTCCACAAAATCTTCACCTCATAGTTTCCTGCAGGAGAGAGCCCAGACCCAGTAACAGTTTTAACCC